ACAATGAAACTTTATTACTTCTTTAATAAAAAACTGTTTTTGAAGAGTGGATCCTCTTGCACATTCCTGATTTAGTATGTTCCTGGGAGTGCCAGGAGTGGGGGTGGGATACAGGAACTGGAACAGCCTCTCTCCCACCCTCCCTGGTTTGGTGCTACTGTCTCTTAGGAAACAAAACAGGTTTTTCATTTTTTTTTTTAATTAAAAAAATTTTTTTATTGTTATGTTAATCCCCATGCATTAATCATTAGTTTTAGATGTAGTGTTCCATGATTCATTGTTTGTGCATAACACCCAGTGCTCCATGCAGAACGTGCCCTCTTCAATACCCATCACCAGGCTAACCCATCCTCCCACCCCCCTCCCCTCTAGAACCCTCACTTTGTTTTTCAGAGTCCATTGTCTCTCATGGTTCGTCTTCCCCTCTGATTCCCCCCCTTTATTCTTCCCCTTCTGCTGCCTTCTTTTTTTTTTTTTCTTAACATATATTGCATTATTTGTTTCAGAGGTAGAGATCTGAGATTCAACAGTCTTGCACAATTCACAGTGCTTACCAGAGCACATACCCTCCCTAATTTTTTAATTAACATATAATGTATTATTTGTTTCAGGGGTACAGGTCTGTGATTCATCAGTCTTACACAATTCACAGCGCTCACCATAGTACATACCCTCCCCACTGTCCATCACCCAGCCACCCCATCCCTCCAACCTCCCTCCACTCCAGCAACCCTCAGTTGGTTTCCTGAGATTAAGAGTCTCTTACGGTTTGTCTCCCTCTCTGGCTTTGTCTTGTTTCATTTTTCCCTCCCTTCCCCTATGGTCCTCTGTCTTGTTTCTCGAATTCTTCATATCAGTAAGTTCATATGATACTTATCTTTCTCTGATTGACTTATTTCACTTAGCATAATACCCTCTAGTTCCATCCACGTCATTGAAAAAGATTTCATTTTTTTGATGGCTGTATAATATTCCATTGTGTATATATATATACACACACACACACACACCACATCTTCTTTATCCATTCATCTGTTGATGGACATCTGGGCTCTTTCCATAGTTTGGCTATTGTGGCTGTTGCTGCTATAAACATTGGGGTGCATGTGCCCCTTCAGATCCCTACATTTGTATCTTTGGGGTAAATACCCAGTAGTGCAATTGCTGGGTTGTATGGTAGCTCTATTTTCAACTTTTTGAGGAACCTCCTTACTGTTTTCCAGAGTGGCTGCACCAACAAAACAGGTTTTAATAGTGCTCTGTGGTGGCTTTCCTTCAGTGTTTCATAGCACTGAAAAGTTTTAAATTCAATTAACTAACATATAATGTATTCTTAGTTTGAGAGGTAGAGGTCAGTGATTCATCAGTCTTATATAACACCCAGTGCTCATTACATCACATGCCCTCCTTAATGTCTATCACCCCATTCCTCCATCCCCCTCCCCTCGAGCAACCCTCCATTTGTTTCCTATGATTAAGAGTCTCTTCTGGTTTGTCTCCCTCTCTGATTTTGTCTTGTTTTATTTTTCCCTCTCTTCCCCTATGATCCTCTGTTTTGTTTCTTAAATTCCACATGTGAGTGAGATCATATGATAATTGTCTTTCTCTGACTTCTTTCACTTAGCATAATACCCTCTAGTTCCATCCATGTCATTACAAATGGCAAGATTTCAATTTTTTTATGGCTGAGTAGTATTCCATTGTATATATATACCACATCTACTTTATCCAGTCATCTGTCAATGGACATCTGGGCTCTTTCCATAGTTTGGCTATTGTGGGCATTGCCACTATAAACTTTGGGGTGCAGGTGCCCATTCGGATCACTACATTTGTATCTTTTTTTTTTTTATAAAGATTTTATTTATTTATTTATTTATTTGAGAGAGCAAGAATGAGAGAGAGAGAGAGAGAGAGAGCACATGAGACGGGGAGGGTCAGAGGGAGAAGCAGGCTCCCTGCCGAGCAGGGAGCCCGATGCGGGACTCGTACATTTGTATCTTTGGGGTAAATACCCAGTAGTGCAATTGCTGGGTCGTAGGGTAGCTCTATTTTCAACTCTTTGAGGAACCTCCATGCTGTTTTCCAGAGTGGCTGCACCAGCTTGCATTCCCACCAACAGTGTAGCACTGAAAAATTCTTGCAGTGAGCATATCAAACCTTGCTTGTCTTCAGTCCTCTGAAAACACCTACTTTGTGACTTACAGCCCATTAGCTAGATGGGACAGAAGCCATGTTGTTTTAATTACATAGAAATAATCAGCTAGTATGTATTGATTTAAATATGACTCCTTAAGTTGCTTAATAAATGTCTTTAATATCTAAGCAACTTGGCTGTGAAAGATGATGGAAATTGAAGATCTAAAATACCCTGGCCTCTGACTATGCATAACTTTCTGACTTACAAACAAATGGAGTTTTTACAACTGGTCATCATTTCTTCATTTCATAAGGTTCCCTTTTTCTCATGGAAAGAGGCACAGCCCATATTCGCGGTAGAGAGGGACGGGGGAATCAGCGACTTGGGACCCCCGCCCTCTGGAACACCACATACCTGATGGCTGCAGGCAGCCATGCAGCTCCAAGAGTTTGGTGGCGTTTGCTTTTTTTTAACCTCTTCCTTTCCTACGCTCACCTATCTGCATAAAGCATGTATTCTAGTTGCGTAACGGTAACCTTTGATCTGGCAGCTCTAGTCCCTCAGAGCTGTAGAACCTGCTGTTCACGGATGCATGATGCGAACACCAACACACATGAGCTCTGTCACCCCCTCGGGTTCCGTGTTGTGCTCCAGCTCAACGGACAGGGGCTCAGCATATATGGGTATTATTGACAGAGCTGAAGAGAATTTTACAGAAGGAAGTCTGTCTTAGTTAATAACTTAGCTAAGCAACTTCTCACAACACTTAAAAGAGTTTGAGCCTTTGGAAACGAAGTAGGAAGGTGTAGGAATTTGTGGTTTGTGTGGTGTCGTTGGTATTAGCTGCTCTGCCTGTTTTTGCTTCTAACATGTTTAGGTAAAGACAGATTATAACTTTTGTGTATCAGAAAATATAAATACGTGTATTGTTTACCAGAAAGCAATGCTGTTGTCATCACAATCCATTTTTCATCACTTTTTGAAAAATGTATTTCTTTGAGGGGGCGCCTGGGTGGCTCAGTCGGTTAAGTGTCTGCCTTTGGCTCAGGTCATGATCCCAGGGTCCTGGGATCAAGCCCCGCACCTGGGATTGAGCCCCGCATCAGGCTCCTGGCTCAGCAGGGAGCCTGCTTCTCCCTCTCCCTCTGCCTGACACTCCCCATGCTTGCTCTCTCTCTGTAATAAATACAAATTTTAAAAAATATTTTATTTATTTATTTGACAGAGAGAGAGAGAGAGTGTGTGTGTGTGTGTGTGCATGTGAGCTCTGGGGGTGGGGTGGGGAGAGGAGCAGTGGGAGAGAGAGAGCATCTCCAGCAGACTGCCTGCTGAGTGGGGAGCCCAATACCAGGCTCGATCCCAGGACCCTGAGATCATGACCTGAGCCAAAATCAAGAGTCAGATGCTTGGGGGCGCCTAGGTGGCTCAGTTAGTTAAGCGTCTGCCTTTGGCCCGGGTCATGATCCCAGGGTCCTGGGATTGAGCCCTGCATTGGGCTCCATGCTCAGCAGGGAGCCTGCTTCTCCCTCTCCCACTCCCCTTGCTTGTTTTCCCTCTCTTGCTGTGTGTCTCTCTGTCTTTTAAATAAAATCTTAAAAAAAAAAAGAGTCGATGCCTAACCAACTGAGCCACCCAGGCACCCCCATTTTTCATCACTTTTAATACTTATTCCTCACCATTTGCTTTCTTTGGCCAAGCATACTTATTCTTTGTAGATAATGTATCAAGGTAGGAGTGAGGAGCTGAGGTCAGTGGTTCATTCTAATGAAATTTCTTTGTTATTTTCTTTCAGAACACAACTCCCTTCCCGGCTGGTGCTTCGATGGCATGGGAGGAAGCACTCAGAGCAGGAGCATCTCTAGCCAAGCTATGTCAGTCATGAAACTTTGAAGTGAGACCTTGCTGTCATGTTCTGGTATTTTATATTGATGGTAGACATTTAGATCAACTGAGGTTAGGGAAGTTCTGAAATTTTTAAAAGAAGCTTACACATTGCCCCAGACTGAAGAATTACCCTTTTCCTCTCAGTTACCAACATTGTGAATGAATTGTGTTATCTCCTTGATTCCGGAAAATCTCTGGATTTGGAGCCTTGACTCTTCTTGTGGGGGGAGAGGTGGCTGCAGAGGGGTCCACGCCATCAGGCTGTAGGCGCGTCTTTGGCTTTGGGGGCAGCGTGGCTGTGGAATGTTCCACAGCAGGACGCGCCCTCAGTGGTGCAGAATTATAAATCCCCTTCCTTTTTGGCTGGAGGACTGAGAGGGCATCTGATCATACTTTCTCATTTTACAGATGAGGAAATGAGGCCCAGAAGTGTGAAATCCATTTCCTTACTGATTAGGGACAGAACCAAAACCAGAGTGTAAGCTCATCCCACATCACCATTCGTCCTAATCCTTCCTGAGGCTATGGTGCTCGTGTTGAAATTTCAGTCACCAAATGTTTTTGCCAGTGTCCTTTCAGTTGGGAAAATTACCAGGGTTTAAATGTCAGATTTATTTTTATATGACTCACTGTGTGTGCTGAAGTACAGAGCACCATATTTAATTTAGTCTAAGAAGGTGTTTATAAAGCATGCCATTATTTTATATACCACTGAGAAAGTTAGGTGGGGGACTTGAACGTTAACTTGTGACAGTTAATGGCCAAGCCCATTTGAATTTGATTTGTGAAAGTGTGGAGGAAAAAAAGTACATCCTAAAATCCATGTAACAAGATATTTTGACTCCATTCCTAAAAGAAATTCTAGAGCTCCAAAGCCAGTCCTCCATCCTGGGTCTTCTTCACAGAGAATCTTTCCCTTGCTAGATTCTGGAATTTTTAAAAGTGTTAATCTTACCCTTTCACAGGTATTTGAGTCTTTCTTTTTTTTACCCACAAACAGTAGGGAGACTACATCCCTTTTGTATAATATCCACACTCCACAAGAAAACAACACATTGTAGTTAATAACAAATTAAAACTAGCACTGGTACTTATTTGGTATGTTGTAAAAGTCTGTTGGCACAAAGAGCACATATTTTCTTCTCCTGCCCGTGTAATAGATTTCTCAGAACTATGCATAAATTGATTGAAACAAGATTATTTCCCCCCATTTAATGTAAGGTGTTATTGAAAGTGGCAGCTTCTTCTCATGACAGGAAACTTGCATCAATGGGATATCCTTTTGACAAACTTAAGTTTGCAAAGGGCCATTGACTTCCCCAAATTGGGCAGGCTCAGGAAATTTTCCTTCGAACTCAGAACGTTCTGTTTTTAAGTGTTTTATTTATTGTTGGCAATTCCTCAGGGATTTCACTTTTCTATTGGTCAGTGTCATTGATGTAAAAGTTTTATGAATTGAAAATATTTTAATTTTATGGCTTTTTCAGTTTGATATGAAGTAAAATAAAGGTTCCTGGTGATTTGCGATTTATTTTGCATTTTTGTGATCCTTCCAGCAAAGTCACTTCCTTGGGGAGGCACCGTCCCCGCCTCCAGACAAGATTGGATCCCACTGCTGTGTCCTTTTTCTCTCCCAGATTGCCCTTGATAGGACATGATTCGCTCTTGAAATTAATTGTTTAAAGTCTGGCTTCCCTCCTGGACAGTAACCTTCATGACAGCAGGTCCCTCTCCGTCAGTTTTTCTTGCTGTGTCCCCAGCACCTGACACACTGTAGTAAGTATGAAAGAATTAGTGGCTAGGAGAGAGCGCACCTGGAGAAGCAACCAGTCTGAGAGAGAAACCAGGAGCGTAAAGGGAGCAAAGCCAGTCAAATAAGCATACACGTTAAGTTTAGTAAATATGAGCTACCCTGAAGACCGTGGGTATCTTAATTTGAATTCCGCCGGAAGCCGACCCTGAGGTAAGAATTTGAGTGCAGGTCTTTTTTTCTGGGGGGTGATCCCAGAAAGCACCCATATCGGAGTGGGAAGGTAAAGGAGATGGAAGGTAGGAGGGAAGGGAAGGAAAACAAAAAGGCCTGCATTATTGAGCCAGTCAGCACTGCGGACACTGGAGCTTCAGTCTGGGGACTCCTGGGGAACCGTGTGGGACACACACCTCAAGCCGACTCACCAGTGGAGAGGAGCGGTGATATTCCTTCCCCAGCTCCCTGCACTCACTGGTTGAGGGCCACCCCCAGGAAAGATGACTTCCCTGGCATCTCTGACCTGCCTGAAACGCAGAAGTGCCAAGCAGAGTGGGATCCAGATTGCCGAGAGAGTCCTTGGGAGGGGCAGTTCCTGGCAGTCGGAATTTGGGCTGCCCTGTAAGGGAACGGTAAGTGCAGAAGGAATGTGGATGGTGCCCTGACAGTGGCTGACCCCTGCGGGGCTCAGATCCATCTGTGCCCGCATGAATTTTACTCCACCCTGCCTGCCATCACTTCTTCTAGTTCTGGTTTCCAACACGCACACACACACACACACACACGCGCACACGCATATGCACACCAGGAGGTTTAGTAGGACAAGCTATAGTCCCTTGCTATAGATGGTCCTGAGTCTATCTATAACTGCTATTCATCATCTCCTTCCTCCACCAGCCTGTTATGGAGTGAATCATATTCTGCTCACAGCCCCCTCCAAATTTATATGTTGAGGTCCCAATCCTCCACACCTCAGAATGTGACTGTGTTTGGAGATAGGGCCTTGAAAGAGGTGATTAAGTTGAAATGAGGTCCCTGGGGTGGGGCACTAATCCATTCTGATTGGCATCCTTCTAAGAAGAGAAAGAGACACCAGGGGTGAGTGTGCACAAAGGAATGACCTTTGAAAAACAACCAGAAGATAGCCATCTGCAAGCCCGGAGAGAGGCCTCAGAGGAAACCAACCAGCACCTTAATCTTGGACTGCCAGCTTCCGGAACTGCAAGAAAATGAATTTCTATAGTTTATGCCATCCAGTTTGTGGTATTTTGATATGGCAGCCCTAGCAAATTAATACCACACATTCTAGATTCCCTTCCCCCTTGGCAAATCTACTGCTTGTCTAGGTTGCATGACTGGTGGGGTGACCCCAACCCTCATCCCTAAGGGGTCTCAGCCCCTAGTTATCAGGCTCTTGTCAGACCCTGTTTGCTGAAATTGCCAACTGATAATTTTTCACCAGGCATGGCAACCCCCAGAGGCATCCCAGTGAAACTCCTGTGTTCCGGATATATTCCTCCCTGTCCCACTTTCCTCATGATAATCATGTACTCCTGCTGGGACAGTTACTCCTTTCTTTTCTTGCTCATCTACTGGCATGACTAGGCATCAGCCACAGTTTTAGTAGAATGAACTTTCTTTCTTTCTTTCTCTTTCTTTCTTTTTTTTTCTTTTTCTTTCTTCCTTCCTTCTTTCCCTCCTTTTCTTTCTCTTTCTTTCTTTCAAGATTTATTTATTTATTTAAAGATTTTATTTATTTACTTGAGAGAGAGAATGAGGAAGAGAGAGCATGAGAGGGGGGAGGGTCAGAGGGAGAAGCAGACTCCCTGCTGAGCAGGGAGCCGGATGTGGGACTCGATCCCAGGACTCCAGTATCGTGACCTGAGCCGAAGGCAGTCGTTTAACCAACTGAGCCACCCAGGCGCCCCAAGATTATTTATTTACTTGAGAGAGAGAATGAGGAAGAGAGAGCATGAGTGGGGGGAGAGTCAGAGGGAGAGGGAAAAGCAGACTCCCCACTGAACAAGGAGCCTGACATGGGCTCAATCCCAGGACCCCGGGATCATGACCTGAGCTGAAGGCAGATGCTTAACTGACTGAGCCACCCAGGCGCCCCAGTGGAACCCTTTCTATGCCCCACGGTTGATGCATCTCCTGGCAACCACGTAGAGCGAGATGCTCTAGTGCTGCAGAGCCTAAAGTTGAAGAGATGGGAAGCACCAGTTTCCCAAGTGGGTCAGTGTAATCTCTGGTGGCAGAGGCCACTCTCATCCCTTTGCTCCCAGACCTGTGTTTTCTATCTATTGGAGTCAACATCCAGTACCATATTATGGCTATATAAGCACCATATAAGACCTCATCATTAAGACCAGCACCCCAATCCCTGCAATGTATTCTCAAGCTGCCACACCTTTACAAGGCCATTCCAACATTCTATCAGGACAGCAGCTTCTAGGTGACGTGGCATGTAGCAGACAAAGTGGAGCCCATGGGCATTTCCCTGTTGTTGCACCAACTTCACTATAAAGTGGAGCTCTTGGTGTAAGGTATGCATTCTCAGTGGGGGCAGTATTACTCACAAGGGGTGAAAATTGGTTCTTGATGGGAAAAACTAATTTTAGTCTTCGTATGTTTAAAGCACAGATACACATATGGTGCATATACAGGGATACAGTATATCTGTGCTATTAAAATTTCATGGGAGTGGCAATTAGCAAAAAGTGTCTAATGAAGGGTAATGAAAAGCAATTTGGCAAACACTGGTCTAAGGTGATGTTATGTGGAATTTCATAATGATACATGAGATACTCTTTGAGCCTTTGGATAGCACTGTTGGCCAAGACACTGCCAGTAGGAAAGGAGAATCTATGCTTGGAATCAGTCCCAGTAGAGGTGAATCTCTGCTCCTTCTAGAGTGGAAGGAGTTCAATGGAATCACATTGCCACCAAGTGGCTGGTTGGTCTCCTTGAGGGGATGATAACATAATTAGGGCTCACCTTCAGCTTCAGGGGCTAAATGGTCAGACATTTAGCAGTAGCCACTAAGGTGGGCCTGGTGTAAAAGTCTTCATCCCTGCTACCACAGCTACTCTGCTCATGAGTCCACTGAGGGAGCACTGGCATGGCCAAGGACAGAGGCTGGCTGGACGTCCCTGGATGAGTCATCCTACCTACCTGGTTGCTCTGCACCTCCTTTGATGAGTAGTTTCTGTGGGTGCTGGTGTAAGACACACAGATTTCACATTTTGTTGCCCATTCTTTTGTTTTCAGTCTTCTGATCCCATTCCCTGATCCATCAGTCAAGTCGTGCACCATTGCCCAGCAGTCTGTGTCTGTGCTTACCTGGGGCTCCTCTCCTTTCGCACCACGTGATGACCAGCTGGGTTACTTGATGCGCTGCCACGGGGAGCACTTCTCTTCATCCTGGGTGGGGCTGTCGTGTGGCAGCAGTCCACATAGAGATGAACAACAATTAACATACAGAGATGATTTATTCTTGAACCAGGCATGAGTGTTTTTGCTCTTCTCCACGCACCGGGTTGAAGGACACCTCCTCTGAGGCTGCAGGTATGAGCTGGAAGGAGAAGCATGGACGCGACAGAGGAAGCTGGTGGAGATGTCTGCGTTTGTGTGATGTCCTGGCCTTCTGCATTTGCCCTCACCTGTTCCAGAATGTACCATGTGTTCCAGAATGCCCCCTGGACCTGACTCAGGGGGGTCTAAATGAGGATAAGCTAGTTTAGAGTAACATTATTTCATGTTCCTGTTTCCTTTGTAACTTCTATAAAATGCATTTCTGTCCATGTTACCATAGAGGCTTTCTGGCTTTCTTGTTAGTCCTAGTGGCCTGAGCTTGTAATTCTCTTTGGTACACTGACAGCCTTCGACAACAACCCACTCTATGGTCCTTATAGCTACATTTCACCCCACATCTCTCAAATGTCAGGAATGTTGTATAAGACTGTCCCCCTGGGGGCGCCTGGGTGGCTCAGTCATTGAGGTCTGCCTTCGGCTCGGGTCGTGATCCCGCGGTCCTGGGATCGAGCCCCGCATCGGGCTCCCTGCTCGGCGGGGAGCCTGCTTCTCCCTCTTCCGCTCCCCCTGCTTGTGTTCCCTCTCTCACTGTGTCTCTCTCTGTCAAAGAAATAAAATCTTTAAAAAAAAAAAAAAAAAAAAAAAAGACTGTCCCCCTGAATCCTGCCCTGAGTCCCCACAGATGAGGCCTCCAATAATTGTGATGCTTCAGGTTGGTGGTCATCACCCCTCACTCCACTTCCGTAAGCAGTGAGATCTTGTGACCATCTGGCTGGGAAGGGGTCTGATTCCAGAATGCCATCCTGACATCTGAGTACCGTTTCTGATACAGTCTTGTCTGGGTTCCTCAAGGAGGCCTGGAGACCAGGAGTTCAAGAGTTTGAGAGTTCGAGATCAAGTAGTTCATTTCGGAAGTGGACCTAGCAGTGAAATGGGAACTGAAAAAGGGAAGAGAAGGAAGTGAGTAAAGACTGTGTTATCAAGGAAGTTGCCACTGTGGGTAATTGGAGCTGAATCCCATGGGGGACTCTGGGAAACAGCACAGAACACAGATCACAGCGTTAGTCCAGGCCAGGTGTGAGGGAGCAGGGTGTGTGTATTAGTTTGCTAAAGCTGCTATAAGAAAGCACCACACACGGATTGGCTTAAACAACAGAAATGTGTTTTCTCAGTTGGGGAGTTTAGGAGTCCAAAGTCACAGTGTCAGCAGAGTTGGTTTCTTCTAAGGGCTGTGTAGGAAGGAGCTGTTCTAGGCTTCTGTCCTCGCCTAGTGGATGGTTGTCTTACCTCTCTGCATATTTCTGGTCCAAATTCCACCTTTGTATAAGGATACAGGTCATATTGGATTAGGGCGCACCCTTATGACCTCATTTTAACTTGATTATCTCTCTAAAGATCCTATCTCCAAATAAGGTCACATTCTCAAGTACTGCGAGTTAGGACTTCAATATATGCATTTTGAGGGATACAGTTCAACCCATAATGGTATTTATATGTCAATCCCCATCTGTCAGTGGTTGAGGGCTGCTTTCAGTTTAGGGGGATGCAGTATTTCCCTGGCACCTGCATACACGTGGCCAAAGGGAGCTCTGAGGCAAAGATGTGACAATTGGAGTTTGGATCTGCATATTCAGAAATCATAAATGCCAAGGAGATATGAGTGGGACACCAGCAGGTATCTGATGCTTTGGGGGGTACAAATAACTCACCATTTCTATGACTCATTTAACTTTTTTTTTTTTAAGTGGGGAAGATTACGAGAGGGGAAATAATAGAAAAAAGATAAGTTTTATATGTTTTGCTTACTGTGGATGCAAAAGTCTGTTAATAGAAGAGCTCCCGTCTATGTAAGAGTCTTCAAAAAAATGTAGGCAGGAGGATATTTTTGGTACTTGCACTTCCAGCTAATTGTCTCAAGAAACTGAAAAAAATTTAGAAATAATGTGATTTCCTCATAATTTAAAAAAAAATATGTTTAGTAATCACAGATGATGAAATAATTAATGCCTCATACAGACTGAGGAAGTAATTAACTGTAGAATGAAGGACTTCTCGGAAATCATGTCAGAGGAGGTGTCATCAGGGGGGAAATTACCACCAGATGGCAACAGAGCCTCTGGAATCTAATTTCATAGGGGAGTTTAAGAAAGGTTTACCCAGCGCTCCTTCCTGAGTGCAGCAGCTTTCATTGAACCCGTTATGGCAAATACTGTTCCAGATGCTGGCTGCCTTAGGAATCAGGCTCATATGAAATTTTGGAATACTGTAATATAGTATGTGAATTATACTCCTTTTATGAATGCCTGGTAATTGTTTTAAATTGGGATTTTTCTCATGAGATTGAAAATATTTCATTAAAAAAATTTTTTTTAAAGATTTTATTTATTTGGCAGAGAGAGAGAGGGAGAGAGAACAAGCAGTAGGAGGGGCAGGCAGAGGGAAAGGGAGAAGCAGAGAGCCTGCTGAGCAGGGAGCCTGATGTGGGGCTCTGTCCCAGGACCCTGGGATCATGACCTGAGCTGAGGGCAGATGTTTAACTGATTGAGCCACCCAGATGCCCCCAAAATTATTTTAAATTCTGAAAGGTGCAATGAAAATGAATATAACCCATTGGAAGGAAATTCGGTAAATACTTATTAAAATTAAAATTGAGAATGTCTCTTTGATCAGCAATTTTACAGCTAGGCATCTATCTTATAGAAGTACACATGCACAAAAAATGTACAAGTATGGTCATTTGTAAGCATTTTTTTTTTTAAGATTTTTTTTTTAAGTAATCTCTATACCCAACGTGGGGCTCAAACTTGCAACCCCAAGATCAAGAATTGCATCCTCTACCGATGAGCCAGCCCCTAAGCATTGCTTTTAATAGTGAAAAATCAGAAACAATTTAATGGCCATCAGAAGTGTGTTTAAATAAAGTTAGGGAATATTTAATTAATTAAGGGAAAAATGAAATAGAGCCATTTTCCTTACAAGGAAATATCTCCAGAATTTATTAATTAAAAGGTTACAGACAATATATACATGGACATTGAGTATTTAAGAATGTGATATTTGTACATGGGTAGAATGTCTGAAAGGATGCATACTGAACTGTTAATAATGGTTAACTCTAGGGAGAGGAGGGTTAACTTTCTATTACATGTTTTTCTATGTTGTACTTTATGTTGCTTGCAGATACATTTAAAAATATTAAAATTTAAAACTATTATAGAATTTTTTGAAGGAAAGAAAAAATATATAAAACCAATACCCAACAGTCAATGCTGTGACTATTCTGAATAACCCAGTATCTTTTTTTTTTTTTTAAGATTTTATTATTTCTCTGACAGAGAGACACAGCGAGAGAGGGAACACTAGCAGGGGGAGCGGGAGAGGGAGAAGCAAGCTTCCTGCAGAGCAGGGAGCCCGATGCGGGGCTCGATCCCAGGACCCTGGGATCATGACCTGAGCTGAAGGCAGATGCTTAACGACTGAGCCACCCAGGCGCCCCTAACCCAGTATCTTTTAAATGAAATATTTCTGATATTCATCTCAGCTCCAATGTGTAAGTTTAGAGTATCACAAATACGGAGAGAGTAAGCCTAGCTACCTATCTTAAAAGTCTATTTAGGGGCGCCTGCGTGGCTCAGTCAGTTAAGCGTCTGCCTTCAGCTCAGGTCATGATCCCAGAGTCCTGGGATCGAGCCCCACATGGGGGGGGGGGGGTCCCTGCTCAGCAGGGAGTCTGCTTCTCCCTCTCCTCGGCCTGCCGCTCCCCCAGCTTGTGCTCTCTCTCTCTGTCAAATAAATAAATAGAATCTTTAAAAAAAAGTCTATTTATTTATACTGTACAATTGCATTGGTTCAAATCCCAGCTCCCCCATTTACTAGCTCAGGCTAGCTCGCTAGAGTGACCGTAGGCAAATAATTTAACTTCTCTGAGCCTTAGTCCCTGTCTATAAGATGAGAACAATAAAACAACTGACTTTGCAGGATTGTTATGAGAATCAAATGAGTTATGTGAAAAGTACTCAGAACAGTTCCTGACTGATAGTAAGAGCTTAGGAAATGGTGATTACTGCCCAAGAATCTTAGTAGCAAACCCTTCACTGTTAAATTAGGTAAGTGATTAACCATGCTTGCCGTCAATGTACATTTTTTAGGGTGTCTGCAGGTAGCGTTTATGTACATTTATCGTTATTTTGTTTTTTGAAATTGACCTTTTAAATTATTTCAAAATTAATGTTCAATTTATTAGTCATATACATTGTAAAATTTAGTTTTTCTTTTTCTTTTTTTAATTTAGTTTTTCTTAAGTCTTTATCTTTATAAATCTCAACATTCTATTATTTCATCTCAACATTCTATTTATAAATCTAATGAATTTTAATAATCACTTTCAAGAGGGAACTTTAACATTTGGTCATTCAAATTCAGTAGACCAAATTTTGTTAAACAATCGGTCCCATTGTGATTTAAATTCCCTCAAGCATTTAAAACTACAGTATTAAGTTTAATAGAGATTAATTTCTTCTATTGCCTGAACTGACTAGCAAAACTAACTACTTACAGTACTAAGGTCTAATAAATTCAGTTCATATATATATATATATATTTTTTTTTTTTGCAAAATTTTCTTACAAAATTCAGTTTATAAATGTAAAGTATGCCGCTTTTCCCTTTAGGCTGTGATATTTATTCATTTGACAGAGAGAGACACAGCGAGAGAGGTAACACATGCAGGGGGAATGGGAGAGGGAGAAGCAGGCTTTCCGCTGAGCAGGGAGCCGGATGCAGGGCTCGATCCCACGACTCTGGGATCATGACCTGAGGATGCTTAACGACTGAGCCACCCAGGTGGCCTGGCTGTGATATATTTATCGCAATTTACCTATGCATTGTGTCTGCTTCCCAACTAAATTGTGAACCATAGAAAGTGAAGGGAGGGTCAGTTCTGTTTTGCTACGTAGTGACTAACACATAGAGAACTTCGAAGGCCAAAAAGGAATTGAATTGGTCTAAACCAGAAAGGGTATTCCAGACCTGAAGAAACACCAGCAAAATTAATGGGTAGTAAAGGTGGTAAAAAGATTTTGTTCATATTTGCTAAGTCTCGCCCATTACACATAAATAAATAAACACACAAACACACACACACACAGGTGTACAAAGTGCATGTGCGTTCTGAGTGGCTTGATAACATTTTTGTTGTTGAGGATTTCAAAATATGTGAAACTGTATATGATCAAATAGCTCATAAACAAGTCACTATGCAGTTTGTATCTCTTAAGTGCTTCCCATTTCTCATGTCATATTCCTGGATTTTTCATTCTAGGATATGCCACCAGTGGGTGGATAGTCTTATTTTCCTCCCATAGAAGCCATCTCAACTATCTTACCCCACCACCAGACAAAACAACTCACATTCATTTGTTCCATTCATCAAATATTTATTGAGCATCTACTCTAGGCTGGCCCGTGTTGTGGAGGCCCTGGGGATACAACAGGGAACAAAACAAAGAACCCTTGCCCTTTAAGAGCTTACATTCTGGAGGAGCTGACAGACACAAACATAAAAGCAAATTATATAGTATTTTAAGAGGCACTAAGTGCTTTGGAAAAAAGAAATTGAACAGCTGGGGAAGGGAGAAGGGGCCAGGTTTTTAACATCTGGAATTTTAAAAATGAAGCAAGGTACGGAAAATCTCTAAGAAAACTTTTATGTGTCTTATTTCTTCTCTGCCCTTCTCGGGTCAGGTGTCTTATTTCCTGCCTAGCAATGTGTATAGTAATGATAACTTCCATTTACTGACATGCCTGTCGCTCCACAAGTACCTTTCACCATTAGCACATTTAATCTTCATCAAATATCATCGTTCCCCTTTACAAAAGAGGGAACCGAGGTGGAAATCTCAAGGGCACATCACGGGCGCAAAGCAGAGATTGAGGCTGACTGGGGGATCTACTTAACTACAGGTCAAAAGAAGATTGATAAATAAACATACCTCCCCGGACTCCTTTAAGCCGGCGGGGGTGAGGTATGCCAGCGCACCCGGGCTCCACACCGAGTGCAGGCCGGAGAGACAGACGCACTCTCAACACGGACAGTCAGCCCCAGGGCTCCACACAACCGATCGAACCCGCGCGTACAGGGTACACCTGGAGGTGCAAAGCACCGCGCCAGGGGTGGGGCCTGAGGGAAGGGGGCGGAGCCACCATCCTTCGGGGAAAACGTGCTTCCTGGAGTGGTTTGTCCTACGTCGCGGCCCGTAGCGTCCCTGTGCTGCCGCCCCTTCTCCGGGAGTGGTGGAGGCCCGGTCACGTGATAAGTCCGGAGGCCGGAACTGGACAGGCTGTGGGAAGCGCAGGGTTTTGACAAAAACAAACGGCGACGGCGCTACCGCAGGGTCTATGGCCGAGGCGGTGAGGCCCCCGCGCCGGGCCAAGGCCAAGGCCAGCCGGACTAAAACCAAGGTGAGGATCTCCCCGCCACCCTGCCGAGACCGTGGCGGATGCGCCCTGTCTCCTTTTTCCTCTCTTGGGCCTCCCTCGCCCCCAGGGCTACCCATTTCCTGAGCCCTCCGCGGTCTCTGCCCGCACCTCCCAGTATTTGATCCCACCACCCACTGACGCCAGTCCTGTTCATCTATTCCATCTCCACGTTCCCCTACCAGATTTGGTCAGGAGCCCTATTTTCCTTTTCCTCCTCTGATCTCAGTGGGCTCTTTCTTTTCTGCTTTCTTCTTGACTTTTCCCCATCTGGGTCTGGGTTCCTGCCGTGGAGCACCTTTTCAGTCCCCAGCTTCATCGTTGTCTCTTTTGTCCTTTACACCTGGGAACATTTTCAGGCCTCTCATGCACAAAGAGGGAAGGAACCTGTCCTCCACGCGTAGCATGGACCCTCTGGCAGAGCTTTATGGATAGCGACAGATAGATTGTAGCGATGTACCTTTTCACTTTTGAAATTCAAGGTGATAGTGGTGCTGCTGCTGTTTATTTCTCATTATCCTGGTCGTTTATGATGGGGGACGAATGTCCAGAAATTAAACCAGGGCAGGACTCACACAGTAGAGATGGATTTGAATTTTCTGGGTTACTTTTGTTGGTTTGTTTTGTTTCAGGTGCAGCTTGGGTTTTAATTTTTCTCCTATATATTTCATGAAATGACATTTATTTTACAGTGAACAGGTTAAATGCTGCCCCTGGATGACTGGACCTAGATTATTCTGGCTTACCTGGAACTGAATTTATATTAAGGAAATAATGAGGGTAGTATTACAATTACTGGAAATTTCCTTTCCGACAAGTGGGTGATATTGCAGAGCAAGTGTACCTTAAAAATGGTACCCAAATCTGATTTTCTCATGGGAACAAAGTTTTGGCAGGAGACAGGTGTTCAAAGATACTGTATTTAATAAGCCATAAATGATTGATGCTGTTTCATTGTGCATTTTAAAAAGGCTGTAATGGAGTTATGCACACCGGCGTACCCAGGCCTGTGAGGAGTTACTCTTTGAAAGCCATTTTGCTATCTAATTTAAGAAGCATATTTAAGAGAAATAATTTTTCATTGTATTGGGCTGGTAAAAGAACTAGCTAGATGGAGGAGGAATTAAAAAAAGCCCTTGGTGAACCATGCATAAGGTCCCTGAACCTAGAATATGGTAGTGCATAACATGTAAACATCAGTCATGTAGAGGGCAGAATGTTAAATCTTACTCTGTAGGGCTTTTTTTTTTTTCCCCAAACGAATGATGAAACTAAAGCCTAGAGAAGTTAAATGGTAGGCCCAAAGTCGTGCAGTTTGACAACTCAAGGTAAAGCCAAAAATCTCAATCCAGTAGCTTAATAAATAATTCATATATCTATATGTCTGTCTATAAATACTTTTTTAAAAGATTTTATTTATTTATTTGACAGAGAGTGAGAGATAGCGAGAGCAGGAACACAAGCAGGGGGAGTGGGAGAAGGAGAAGCAGGCTTCCTGCTGAGCAGGGAGCCCGATGTGGGGCTCAATCCCAGCACCCTGGGATCATGACCTGAGCTGAAGGCAGACGCTTAACGACTGAGCCACCCAGGCGCCCCTCTGTCTATAAATACTTAAAAACAGTTAAGAGGATTCTGTGTCAGGTTATTTTGTTTGCAACAGGATTTCTGAAATAAAAACCTTAAGCTTTTAATCTGTCAAGAAAAACCAGTTGCTCATTTTATTGACACATTTCAGGCAATTTTCTTTCACAGACATATGTTAATTAATTAATTAATTTTTAAGAAGATTTTATTTATTTATTTGACAGAGAGAGACACAGCGAGAGAGGGAACACAAGCAGGGGGAGTGGGAGAGGGAGAAGCAGGCTTCCCGCTGAGCAGGGAGCCTGATGCGGGGCTCGATTCCAGGACCCTGGGATCATGACCTGAGCTGAAGGCAGACGCTTAACGACTGAGCCACCCAGGCGCCCCTATGTTAATTTATTTGAAGAGGCCTTCATTCCAGAGGTATTTGGTCAAACCAGAAATCCTGGACACATACTTTTTCCTCACTCTCCAAATCTAATCAGTCACTAAGTCTTGCCAGTTGTGGTTCCTAAATATTCTCTTAACTCTGCTCGTTTTTCTCCATCCTACCACCACCATTCTCCAAGGAAGAGTTTTTGAATTTCTGCTAAACTGGCCTTTCCAAATTCATTCTTGCTGCCCATTCTGTAAACTAAAGCCGATTGATTTATTTTTATTTTATTTTTTTTAAAGGTTTTATTTATTTGACAGAGAGAGACACAGTGAGAGAGGGAACACAAGCAGGGGGAGTGGGAGAGGGAGAAGCAGGCTTCCCGCTGAGCAGGGAGCCTGATGCGGGGCTCGATCCCAGGACCCTGGGATCATGACCTGAACCGAAGGCAGACGCTTAACAACTGAGCCACCCAGGCACCCCTAAATAAATAAAATCTTTAAAACAAAACAAAACAAAAAACAAAACTGATAACTCTCCTCCTTAAAACCTTTCAGAGGTTCCCCATTACTCTGAGGCTAGAGTCCAGAGTCCTTAGCATGGACTCAGGGCCCTAAATGACCTGGCTTCTATCTTTCTCTTCAACCTTAGGTTTACCACTACCATCTCTTTTGGTTCTCAGTTTTTTATATATATATATATATATATTTTCTGCTTCAGGGCCTTTGCACATGCTATTTCTTCTGCCCTGATACCTCTTCCTGCCCCTCTTCACCTACTACTCAGTCATGAGGTCCCTACTAAAACAGTACTTCCTTAGAAGAACTTTCCCTCATGACCCTTGTATTACTCCCTCCTGCAGTAACACCCTGCACCCCTTTTGTCACTTGTCTCACTTGTAGTTATTTTGTCAAAAACTCTTCTCTCAGGCTGTGTCCTCAATGAGGCAAGGACTTGTTTGTTTCCAGTACCCTTCACAGCCCTTTATGCACTTGGTCATGTCTGTTGAGTAAGGAATAGATGCTGGTATTGAAGAATACTCCCAAGCTTTGTCACTTAGAAGAATTGAGTAAATTTTCTCTGAGTAGAATGAAAAAAACAAATGGAAAAAGTCCACAACACCAGCAAGGCCCTCATACTTGTCATTGTAAAAATTGTTCTTTTAGAGTCAGTAGATTCATTTTTAGTGCTGGCTGTAGTTTAGCCATAATTATAAAGTTCTACATTAATGAAATCTTTATTATCTGTGGTATAATTTGGCAGCTATTTATGGAGCAGTTCCAGGACTCAGTTCAGGAAGTGAGGAGTGTCATGTGTTGTTCCCTTTAGATAGTTTGAGTGGCTTGTGGATTTTTTTTACCTAGCAGCTGACCTGCATTCCTCAATGTTAATCATTTGGTAGATGACCTCACATTGTTAGGTTGTAGTTAATCTCATTCCTAAGAGATTGTCCCAGTAATGTTTTCATTCTTTTAGTACCATCTTCTACTAGACTATCCCCCACCTCAGAGGACCCTGGCTTTGGTGATCTTGGTAGATTATGAGTTAAGAACAGTAGATTTTTAGATTTGGACTTATTCTACAGATGCAGTGTATATATATATATATATTTTTTTTTTTAAGATTTTATTTATTTATTTGAGAGAGAGAGAATGAGAGAGAGCACATGAGAGGGGGGAGGGTCAGAGGGAGAAGCAGACTCCCTGCCGAGCAGGAAGCCCGATGCAGGACTCGATCCAGGGACTCCAGGATCATGACCTGAGCCGAAGGCAGTCACTTAACCAACTGAGCCACCCAGGCGCCCGATGCAGTGTATATTTTATAGTCATGGGATGTACACAAACATTAGTTAAATTCTGAATGCTAGCAACTCCTTAATAGTAACAGCATATGGTAATTGCTAAGGATAGACTGAGATGTGGCCCAGAAAGCTGATCGTGAAATGGAAAGACCTTTTTTAAAGATTTTATTTATTTGAGAGACAGAGAGAACAAGCAGTGGGGAAGGGCAGAGGGAGAGAGAGAAGCAGACTCATAAGGATGGGTTGCAGTTTCCCAAGGTGACATATAAGTAAAGACACGAAAGAGATGAGGGAGTTAGCCATGTAGATATTGGGGGAGAAATATTCCAGGCTGATGCCCTAAGGGAGTGGCCTGCCTGGCCTGCCCCAAGAACTGCAAGGAGGCAGTCTGGGAAGGGGGGGGAGTAAGGGAGGGGAGAGTAGTGGGATGAAGTCGGAAACCTAACACAGGGCCAGGTCATGCTGGGCTGTGTGGGCCATTGTAGCAACTTCTACTTTGAGTGAAATATGTAAGCACTTCAGGGTTTTGGGCAGAGGAGGGGTGTGATCTGAGTTAGGCTTTAAAGGATCACTGTGCTTGCTGTGTGGAGAATAGACTCTAAAGGAGCAAGAGTAGAGGCAGAGACCTTTTAAGAGACTGTTGCAGTAATCCAGGCAAGAGGTGACAGTGGTTCGGACCAGACTTGTATGGGAGAGGTGGTGAGAAGTGTTTGAAGTCTGGGAGTTTCTGCAGGTAGAGCCAAGAGGATTTGCTGATGGCTTGGATCTGGCACGTGAGAGAAAACAGGCACAGATGACTCTGAGACAGAGGAGGTGGGGGGTGGAACAGGTTTGGGCGCTGATCAGGAGTTCAGGTTTGAATATGCTAATTTTGCACTTGATCTTAGCCAAAAGGCCGAGAAGCGATGAATATGCTAATTTTGAAACCGGTGTCTACTGGACTTCCAAATGGAGATGTAAAGTAGGGTTGGGTATGTGAATCTAGAGCTTGGGAGAGCTCCAGGTTGGGATTAAGATCTGGGAGTCTTTGGGGTGCCTGGGTGGATCAGTCGATTGAACACCTAACTCTTCATTTTGGCTCAGGTCATGATCTCAGGGTCGTGGGATCAAGCCGCGCACTGGGCTCCGTGCTCAGTGGGGAATCTGCTTGAGATCCTCTCTCTCTCACCTTCCTCTGGTCCCCCTCCCCAATAAATAAATAAATCTTAAAAAAAAAAAAGATCTGGG